TCATTTACGTACTTTGTTAATCTTCACTGTACACCTTGCTTAAAAATTATTATTTCGGGCCCGAAAAATTAGTAAATATTCTTCAGACGTTCTAAAGTAAAGGTGAACAGCGTTTTTCTTAAAAATATCACTGTTACGTAGTAAAAAAAAATCCGGAAAGTTCTCGCTTCGTGATTTGTTCAATACTTCGAACGCGGCTCGAGTCCGTCCCGACCATCTGTCAAAGCCTCGTGCTGCGGGCTCTCGAACTTCGCGCCGTCACCTCTCATTGGCCAGTGTTTTTCGTTAATAACTCGTAAACAAAGCCGCAGATTGCATTTTCGCAAAGGAAAAAGTTACTTCAAATGACCTCAGCTACCCCTCATTTTCGGCTGTTAAAATAATTGTGGAACACCCTGTATATCTATATCTATCTGTGGTCCATGATAAAGGAACTCTTAGGTCGGTAAAACAGATACATATCGGACAACAAAAGTCTTTTACTAGATTTAAAAAACCGATACGAAAAGATACATTAAATAATAGCTTCGTTAATGCCAGAACAATTATTAATCGATTCCGACGTATATGCAAAGCTAATTAGAATTGTAAAAGAACGTTCGTCTACTGATAGATGGCAGGAAGGTTTCATTTCACCCTATCTGATAAATCGAATCACGGACACGAGAAATCATTTCAATAGGAGCAATAAGAATGATATCTACCTAACGTTCATTCAAAAGCACAATTATGTAATTGTCTTCTGAAATCTTCGGTTGGGAACACCATGGACTTCTAGAAACGATACATATGTATATTTAATTAAATTCGCCTCCTATCTAACGAATTACTTGTAACAAATAAACGAATATGAAGAAGATCTCGCGTCTAACTGTAACTGAGCTACGACATTGTATTTCATGTAATAAGATTTCAAGTAATTATAGAATTTGTACAAGTGCAAAATGGTGTTACACGTTATTTGTAGCGTGCTCGTTAGACCCATTGTCGGTGTTAGAATAGAAACGAATAATCCAAGGTAAATAAATGGCGGTGGCCGCGACGTGGGCGAGGAGGAGGGACTTTAGGAGAATTGAAAGGATTGGAGGAGAGGGCGGGGAAGAAAATTCACGGAGAAATAACGAGCTCTGCTAGTGTCAGTCTGGATAGACCTTCGAAAGGGGGCCATATATTTTCATCGAGCGTGCTGCTAGTTCTATCCGAGGGAGCGGAAACAACAGGGTATATTATGGAATACTATCCGCAATAGGTTCCACAATCTCGGTAGCCATTGTTTCGTGGTACCTACAGATGTGCTCCATTGTCGGTCCATCGGTACTTTTGCTCCAAAAGAAGAAAGAGAAAGAAAAAAAGAGAGACGTTTACGAAAGGAACGTATCAATTCTTTGTCGCATCAGAATATCTGTAGGCTTGTCTAACGGGTGGCGTCGCTTGAGAATCATTATTTTCCCGTCTCCACGGCTGATCATTTGTTCGATAATTCGATCATTTCGTTTTCCTATCGAATTGTCGATCGCGCTTCGATCGAATCGAGCGCGTGTTCGACGGAAATACTAGAAAAACGACCGTTGATTTATCGATCGACCTTTTTTCGATTGCAGAGAATTCTGTCGCCGGGGAAGCGCATAGGAAACGCATCCGATCGAGGCTTCGATCGCGTGCTTTTAATCGTCCTCTAACCTCAATCTATCGTGCGCATCGAAACGACGTCCGATTCGATTCCGTGGAAACGTCGATCGGGGTCTGCTTCGAACTCTGATTGATCCATTGAATCATCGCGAGATCGTTTCTCCAGCGAAAATAGCAATTCTAAAAATCTGCCGAACGGGTCGGAATTTTGGGAATCGGCAGGCCCGAGGAAAGGTGCAAAATCGGGAAAGAGAATTGTTGCAAGATGAAACGGGGCTTGCCTGTTAATTCGATGGAGATAGTCGCGGAGTGTCACCCAGTAGATAGTGAGAATACCTTTCAAGGATAGAGTCACGCAATAAGAGGGTGAGTAGTGGCGGTGGCGATGCTAGTAGTAGTAGTAGTTGGTTTGATGCCAATGAACGAGTAGGTTGGCATAGGTTGGGGTAGGTATTCCGTTTGTATAATGTACCTACTCACTCGTATCGGACTGTCTCTCTGTGATGTGAACGC